TCTACCACATCTTCTAGAAACATCTTTAAATGTTTAAAAAGAAAAAAATTTCAGAAGTACTTTTAAAGTTCGTTGGGAAGTGCTTTTAAAATAACTAAGAGGTTGGGAAGTATTTTTTAAATAACTAAGAGCGCTTTAATTTAAATGTTATAAATAGGGAAAAGTGAGAAAGAGATAACTTTTACTAGAGATAGAAGTGGAATGGATGCAATGTATCACATTGTTTATTTTTCGTAATTGTCTCACACAAATGATGCAGGTAAAGATGGTGATAGGGATTTTACCACTTGCAAAAGTAGAGATAAAAATACTTAAAAATACTTGCAAGAGTACAAGGTTATCGAAGTATAGCAGCTCAAGCAAGGTTGTTTTTCGCAGGGATTGAATGAATAATTTATGTTAAAATCAAATCTTAATTAATTATTTGAAAACAAGTTTAGAAAAAGGTGATTTAATGACCTAAAATATTAAAAACGAATTTAATTAAAAACAATTAAATAAATTGAGAAAGTAAAGAAAACCAAAAGAAAATAGTTTTGCAATCTATTTAAGTACTAGGGTTTCGCCGTAACCTTAACAATCATACATAGTTCTTCCAATTACTTATGAATTACACATGCATATTTTGAAGGTTAGATTTCCTAAAGTATGCCCTACTTGGAACCTCCAACATAGAACGTATATCTAACATGCACCTGTCCGTGGCGTCTAGATCGAATATGAACATACAAGACTCATTAAGTTTTGTGAAAACCTTTTGAAAAACCATACAACCCTTAAGACATGTCGTCCATCTTAAGAAGTTACACATATTAACCACAAGAAGCCATCGGCAAATTCAGGGACAGCCCTCCATCAAAATTGCATCAAATTACTTTTCTAAATATTCTAATGGTGGCCAATCATCAAGACAATTAGATAGTTTAAAGCACAATGATTAATAATTCAAAACTTGAGTGCATAATATCATAAGCAAATTGAAAAGAAACTACATATTCTTGCTAAAGCTCGTGGCCTCGCTCTAGCAAACAAAACTAGTTACTAACAACCATAAAACAAAATATTATTAAAAACATGGATAGAAAGCACCTTGAGAATACAAAGTAATGCGTTCTCTCCCCTTATCTCCCTAATGGCTAAAAACCTTATTTATACTACTACAAAATAAAATTCTTCCTATAAAAGGACTTAGAATAAAACTAGGAAACATAATAAAATAATAAAACAGAAAATAAAAGGTCTCCTATTTGAACTAAAATTCAGAGTTCTCTGAAAATTAATCTTTTGACCAACCAATAAACTCCGATTTGGTCTCAAAAGGTCTTTTTTTAAAGCTAAAGACGTCCTCAACAAATCCTCAGAGGGAATCTTCATCAAAATATGCCATCTTGACCTTCAAAATACTCAAACGTCCAAAAACATCAATCTGAGAAAGCTAGGCGCTAGACCTTTATTTCATCGCCACGGTCAAATGGCTTGGTAGAAAATTCTGATACTTTGACACAATCATCTTGAAAGACTCATGAACATAGTCCAATTGGAATCACTCCAAAATTCATCCGTTTGGTTACTTTTTGCACCAGAGGAAGTCGAATGTCCTATATTGAAAATATATAACAAAGTATCAAAATTCTACCAAAATAACTAATAAACTATAACTAAGATTAGGGTAAAATATATAGTATAATATCGACTCATCAGATGGGAAAAGGGATATTGGTATTATTGCTTTCGATCTTGATATTATGTATTGTTTGATCATACATTGCATGCTCTTTATATAGAGCAAATTACGTGCAAAAGTCTACAAGGAAAATTAATACATGTTGAAAAAATGCCATACAACAACAAATTATGACAATACTACTATTTCTAGTCCTTTTTATTTTTCACTTTTGGTTAAACCATGTGGGTATTCAATTCCCATAGTTTTTACAACATTAAATGTTTTTTTGGATGAAGTATCATATTTGTTTTTCTTACATGTCATTTAAAGTGTTTTTCTAAAATCCACTTGAATTGTTACTAAATATCACCCAGAGTAATGCTAGGGAGATTGAATTTGTAGACTAAGTTTTGTAAACTAAATGATATGGAAGTTGATAATTGGATTATTACTTAAAAGTTGATAAACGTGCTCATTTCTTATTAGTGGTACATTATTTAGTTTGCAATTTTAATTTATAAATTTAGTCTCCCTAGAATTATTGTATCACCAAAAACACTTACAGTTCTAAATGAGTACTTAACTTTTCGGCTAAATATTGTCAAAATTGCTTTTTATAATCTAAAAATACTGTCAATTGTTTTTAAAGGACAATGATTCTCTCCCCTCCTTTTACATTCTCTATTTTATTTTTCTCCTTCTATAAAAAATTAATATAAGACGTTGACATGACTTAACCTTTAACCATTCAAATAGGAGGAGAGGGAAGATGAGAGAAAAAAGAGAGGAGATAATCCTATTCCGTTTTTTAAAAACACTTTCATTCGAATATTGGGCCCTTTAACCAAATAGGCCTCTATAATTTAAAACCTGCGATCCCATTCTATAAGTCCAAGTCTTATCTAACGCGACAAATGGGCCGCTGCAAATTCGGCACAATTCGTTGTGCCCCATTCGTAGTGTCACAAGACATGTGTGGCTAGGGGTGGAATCGAATAGGTAACTGAAATGTAAGGCGAAATCACAAACCAACGAACACTTGTAGGGACGAGTAAATCGCAACCGGCACTGACACGGCCAAGTCAGTTTACCCACTTTTAGTTAACCGATTTGGTCGACCGGAAGAAATCGATAGAGTTGAGTTTTTCGGATGATTTAGGTGAGGCAAAAAGGGGAGGACAGTATTACGAACCCATTCTCAAAGCTTGCAATTGATCTCCAAACAACAGTCCTGGTGGCGATGAGAAGGAGAGAATAGAGAGAAGACCGGAGGAGACGATTATGGCATTGTTGTGCACATGAATATGTGATGTAAATGACATTCATTTTCTTCTTTTGAAAAGGATTGAAAGATGTTACGTCGGATCTCAAGATACGTACAAAATTAATGCGCGACATCAAGATGTAATGGTACAATAAGTACGAAGAGTTTATTAAAACTCATACATACATTATATCAGAGAATTAACGACAGTTACAATAAACACTAGTTCAACAATGAATTGAGGCATTAATCTAAATATAATAATAAAAGTTTACAAACCCTACTCTTAGGTGTCACTGCCAGCATGCTAAACTACTCTCAATCCCTCAGCTCGAACCCCTGATCTAAAACTTTGCAAGAAAGACAGCTACATTATGGGGAAGTGTATCGTGTTACACAAAATACCTGATAAGCTATGAAACTTGTGAAATGACAAACAATAACATATAGTTTACAACCAAAATGGTACAAAAGCATGCAGTCTCAATTCCTAATTTAGCACTTGACCAATTCAAATCACCAACACCAGTTTTATTCCCTAAAACACAATCACATGCTCTTCCTTTACTCATATGATCCAAAGAGCAAGTTTGAGGTTTTTTTATTTTATTTTTTATTTTTTTTATTTTTTTTAAGTAAAATAAAAACTGAACATTAAATGAATATATCAAGTTATCAACTGCCCCTTTAGACCATCTTCAAAGGAGCTGTCAAAATGTCTAAATTAGCTTTAACAATCATAAAAGGCAGAAACAAAATTTTGCAACCGATAAGCTAAATTTGATATGACATGACATGGAATAACAGCCCACACCCTTGCTGTCAAATTTGACAGCAACGTCAAATATTTTTAATTCATTAGAGCATCTCCAAAGGAGATGTCAAATATAATATGTCAAAATTTTATTTGGTAGCTGATGTGGCAAATTGAATACAAGTGCCAAATTTTCTTCTTTTCCAATAGATGTGTCAGATATTTATTTTATTATTTTATTGGGCTTAGAGTTACATTAACTATTAAAAAAAATAATCAAAATTAATGGTAGTTTTTATTCTATTGGGATCCATGTATTAAAAAATTTATTAAATATATTTGACTTCTTATTTGTTTACTGTAAAAAAAAGCAGCTAAAATGCAAGGAGTCAAATTACTTATATGTCACATCATATATGACATATTCATCAGAGAACACCTAAATGTCTTCTAATTTTATTTGGTATATTTGAGGAGATGGTCTTATTAAACACTTTTCCCTGTGGCCTATCCACCTTTTTCATAGCAAACTGAGAAGCGCCAAAAAAAAAAAAAAAAAAAATAATCATCTTCTTCATCTCTGCATCCTGCCGAACCAGAAACAGAACCAACGCGACAATTTCATCTTTCCGATCGGTCGATTCGATTCCCCCATTTAAATAGAAGCTATGGAAGCTACTCTTCCACTCTCTCTGCCCAAACCCGTAGCCATCTCCTCTCACCAATTGAGGTTTTTGAACCACCATTCCAGCCCACGAACATGTTGTTCATAAAGATCCCCCCAAAACCCTTCTCATCGCCCTTTCTCCCTCTTCGTCGTCGTCTTTTCTCTCTGCACCTCCGCTCGATGACTTACAGTGTCGACCGGTCAAGGTCGTCTCCACCGTCAAGATGGGACTTGGGGGCCTCCAAAGAGGTGGGGTGAGGTTTGGAATATCGCGAAGGGTTGGGGTTTGGGTCAACAGGGAAGAAGAAGCGGAAGGGACTGTGATTGTGGAAGTTATTGATATTTGTAAAATATAAATATAAAAAGAAAATAATGTAATAAAATAATAGTTCAATTTAACATATGGAGTGGAGATTAAAATTTTAAAAGATGTCAAATTATAATATAGGCTATTAAATTTAAATTATATGTTTAAAATTTGATCTTTTCTTTGAAGATGTTCTTAATAATTAAACTCATGATTATTCAGGTTGGATCTTCTTCTTCCTTTTCTCTATTTTTTTTTTAAATTTTTAAAGAGACTTTCTTTATAATAAAAATCAAACAAAACGCATAACACATTGCAGAGTTCAAATTGGTCTAAAATATGTGAAGAATCCCTTTTAGCTCCTGCCTCCTGGTAAGATAAATCTAAAGCTTATTTTGTTACTACCTGGGATTCTAATGGTAATAGAAAAATTCTGCAGAATTCTTGGTATCTGCGTTACGTACATACATATCAAAGGGTTCATGCGGCTGACCCAGCTTGGGCGAGCTGCTGATCTGATCTCCATGAAAGGACGGTTTTTACCGTTGGTGTTCCCCTGCCCGGGTAACGTATGGCTTCAGTTACCCAGTAAATAAACAAAATTTATTTACTTACAAATGGTGTGAAGGTACGTGCTGCCATGAATCCATGCATGACTTTACTGTCAGTAACTCAGTGTCTGATGACCAATGTGTCTCTACTATTCTACTGTAAGATGTAAATTGTGAATATAAGCAATTAATTGGGTACATGCATGCAATTGCAAGAAACCTTAATTAAGGTATTGAGCATATGTTCTGAGAAGCTGACTCTGTTGATAATATTTTTTTACATAATGGGTTTATCGGTTCTTTTCTCACTTTCTCCATGAGTTTTCAAAATATTGTGGTTTCTTGTTCGATGTTTAATCCATGACCTTTGGTAGCCCTAGGTTTGTGGATGTTGATCAATTTGTTTTTGGCAACAAACCATAAAAATTCCTAAGGAAATAATCAGGTTAAACCAAATAATCGTGGTGCATGCAATTAAATAAGTGAGATACCGACACATGAGATTATCATTAGTTTTTTTATCGATATTACTAAAAAGCAATCAAATATAAATAAATACAAACAAAAATATTGACAATGTACTAATTAAGTATTGATCAACGTAATTGGTAATCGATATTAAGCAATCTATTCCCAAAACTTTAGAACCTAAATCAGAAGTACACGCTGTAAAACAATAAAAGTAACAAACCCAAAATAAGGAGCATGTACTTTTTTCGAAATGATAGTATATATATGCTATAAATCCTGATGATTCTATATCAAAAACTTTTACAAATACGTATGAGTAGGAATTTGTTTATAACCATGTACAAACTTCATTAAGAATCCGAGTGCAACGCAGTATCAATTTCATTAAAAACTCGAGTGCAACGCAGTAGTTTTTTTTATTAGTAACATAATCAAATTTTCATAAAAACCCCAAGTACGTCCTTCTTACATAGTGGTTCTTATGTTAAGTGTGTGTGTGTGTGTGTGTGTGTGTAACTAACTAAACCCCTAGTGCTCTTACATATCCATTTTAGAATTAATGCTTGTGAAGAAGCAACCACGTATGTACATGATGTTCTAGAATACTTAATTATCTATTTGTACAAATGCTATTAGAAAACATTAATTATATATCTTGAAGTAGTTTTGCAGTTCAAAACACAAATAGTTGAAGCACTTTTGGTACTGTCAAAACACTCCCAAACAAGGCTAAAAACAAAAGGGTCTTCAGACTCTTCAGTTGGAAGACATATATAGTATCAATTAGAATTCACAAACCTGCAGTCTGAACCATGAAAAGTATTTTTTTAGACAGCTGCTTGTGTAATTCTCATTTTTCTCCCCCGCTGTAATTAATCACGCTATATAACATGATATGTGGTCAAAGTGACTTTTTTTTTTGGGTTAAGGAACCTTACTTGCTTGATTAGGAACACATCCATTCAGGAAGCAAATTAATCAACAAAGACCATGAGGAAACAATCCTACACTTTAAACTTTTAATAAAAGCCCCCCCAATCAATGCTTTTTACCTGGACAAATTAGAAAAGCACTTTCTCCAGAAACAAAACACATTGGCAAAACTCTACGATAAGAATTAAGTCACATATTTACTCATAGAGAGAACTCAAATAGTCTCTTTAATTAATTAATTACCTTGCTCTAAACTTAGTACTGGTTCTTTTCCCCTTGCTGATGAGCTTCACAGTTCCATACTGGTTCTTTTTCACCAGTATAATAGATGTGTGTCACGTGTTCAAAAAATGCATCACCTGTCCAATTAACGGTTGTCACGTGGTGAGTTGGTTGCATGAGAGTATCTCTCATCCCACAGATTTTCTCCTCCATTAAATGGAATGTGCAACGAGCTAGAGTTCACATCCATATTACAACACGATGGTGAAAGTCCCTCATCCATTTGTTGAACTCCCATCCCATCCTGTCTTTGATTCCAAACTTCCTGGCCTTCTTCATAACAAGACATCTGACTAAAGTACATGTTATTAGTCTTCGTTTCTTGTTTGTGCATCTTGTTCCATTCTGTTGTCATTCTAAAACAAACACTTATATTCTCCCATTTCTCTTTACACTCCCCTCCATTCCTTGTGTAGCCCAAACTACCCATTTTTGCAGCTATCTCCTTCCACACGCCCTCCTCCTTCAGATACTCACTTTCTTGGGATGTGAGTTCCGAGCTAGTCCTCAGCTGTATTAAACTTGCAACTTCATGCTCAGTCCATCTAGGATAATTCTTTCTGTTATCATTACCAGTTTCTTTTGCAATATCGTCCTTGCCATTGTTGTTGTAAGCTCCTTGGCCTGTATATTTGCTTAGAGCCTCCATTATCGCCGCATCTCGAGTTTCAACCCATGCTCTCTCCTTAGCCCAAAACTCGTGCACTTCTCGCTCATACATGGCCGCCTCTTGCTTCCTCCATTCTTCTTCCTTAGCTATCCTCTCATCCGCACTATCTTCAATACTCTTTACCATCTTCTCCATCAATTCCTCCTGGGTCTTTATTACCTTCCCCATTTGTGAGCTCACAAACTCCTCCACCTTTGCTTTCCATTTCTTCTTTACCTGGGTCGCATAACTTTTATTCTCATTCTTATGGCTCTCCATTGACTGTTTCATCATGAAATAATCAATAGCTGAAAGTGACTCATTGTCGTCGATGTTCTCCGAGGGTGGGTTTTGATCAAATTCAGTTGAGTTATTGGAACTAAGGCTCTCGCAGCTTATAATCTTTTGGTCTTGCACAACTACTTCTTCTTGGTTTTGATCTCGGTCAAAACTGCCACTTGGAGTAGGGTGACAAAGAAGAGGGTTTGATCTACCGTAAATGGAGGACTGATTGCTACTTTGATGATGATCTCCATAAATTGCTTCAAGCTGACGAAAGAACCTATAGTGCTTCCCATCTTGCCTCCCAGATTTCCCTTCCTTGGTTTTCTTGTAGTACTTGTACAAGTTCTCAAACTTTTCTTTGCATTTCTTCCCAGATCTCTGGAATCCATGTTCCTCAGCCATTATCCTATACATCAAGAAAATAGAACAACAGGAACAAATTTTAATAAAATTATAGACAAAATATTCATGTACTTAATTTCTCATATCCTCAAAATATTAAATTAAGATAGGATCGTGTAGAAATTATATATTGTTATATTATCAAGATAGCCACACCATTCCTTCCTTTATATAGACTATAAGTCATTGAGATTACTATATATTCAGCTAGAATTTTCAGTTTAAGAATTTCAGTTAATTAAGGTGTAAATTAATAACAGTATTCCACCTTACATCGATGTCGTATGAAATGTATGGCCTTTTTTAGGTGTTAAGCAGATTCCATTGCCCTAATTGAACAAGAAGGCCTCTCAACGAGAAAACTACTCTCAGTCTTGGAACAGTCAATTTGCATACCAAAACCAGAAAAAGAATAAAAAAAGAAGACCTGGGTCGATCTCTAGTTAACTCAAATACTTTGTCATTTTCATGCACTAAATTATCTCAGAAGATCAAACATTAATTCATCAAAAAGCCTGACAGTATCTAAGAAAATAACATTACTATATGAAACAATAAGTAGGCTCGCTAGGATTTCAGAAGTAAAATAAATGAAATTTCACACTTTCAATTTCTTTCTCTTCTGTTTATGTTGAAATAAAAATGAACATCCATCTTAATTAATGAAAAAAAAATGACAAATATTACAAGAAATTAGAAAGAAGAAAACACCTCAGCTGGTTGTAGTGACCTCATTCTCCATATATTTTGTGTTGATGAAAAGAATTGAGAAAGAAGTTAGTATATACAAATTAAGAACAGAAGCAATAGGATATACCTAGAGACTTCATCCCACAGGGGTCCTTTCTGATTAGTCTCCTTGAACTTGGAATCAAGAGCAGATCTAATCTCTAAAAGAGTAAGAGTTTCTTGTCTTGGCCACCTACTATTATTATTAGTTGCTCCATCAATATTATTCCATCCATGCTCCAACTCTATCCCATATATCGCAGCAGCAGCAGAAGTATTACTACTAATAGTAATACTAGGATGACAAGCAGTTGTAGTGATCATACTAGTATAACGATGATGGTCGAGCAAGCCAGCAGCTGCAACAATCTCACTGCCTACCAATATGGGGTGGTGATGATAATGGGGCGGCGGTGGCGGTGGAGGCGTGAGATTGTGGTGTACTGAAAATTGCTCTGGGAATTGTAAGGGCTTACAAAACTGGGTTTTTGAGGCCATCAGATGCCGGAGATCTGGAGGTCCATAGTCATCCATATCCCTAGAGAGAGAGAGAGAGGGGGGGGAAATTTGGCTAGCAGTAATTAACAGTCGCAGTTATTCATTGGCGAAAGAGCTTTTGCTTTTTAGAATAGAGGAGAGAGAAGGGAGGGAGAGGGGGACCAAGATTTCTGTGTGCATTGCAGAATGTAAGCTTTTACCATTGGAGACAGGATCCGAGTCTAACGCAACTTTCGTCACTCTTGCATCACTGTCACTCTGTGGATGTGAGAAAAAAATTATAAGGAGAATACGTAATGACAGATGGAAAAGCATTCCATGAGAGAGCATGAAAATCCTGTTCTGTACCATGGGATTGCGAACAGTGCCACCCGTGTGTGGTTTTTACCTTTTCAGTATTTGACTGGCCATCCACCCATCTTTACGGTTTTACCCTTCTAGGGTTCTAACTTCTGTCTAGTCAATTAGCCATCTGCACCACCTTAGTTTAGTGCTGAGAGCAGTGCCTTCGAGCACCAGGTGAAGAAAATTGAGTTTTCACCGTAAAATCAATTAGTAATATAGGAAATGTTCCAATTTCTTGTAAGTCATTGCATGGTCTTCCCTCTCATCAATGTGAGATTCATTCGCAACGTGCCCCCTCACGTGTGGTGAATTTTCAAGCCTAACACAAAGACAACACAACGGGGTGATGTGAAGCGCGTGTGACTGTTTAACTTCACACATGGGACAATCTACATACTATGAAAAAAGTTAAGGTTTCACCATAAAACCACTTGGTAATATCGAGAGTAGCCAAACCTCTTTAAGCCTTTGCATAATCCCTCATCTCATCAACATAGAATTCATTCTTAACACCACTAGGTCTTCCATTTTCACTTAAAATCTCAAACCTTAATGTGTCTTGTTTTAGTAATACCATCTGACTTGGACATACTCTTTAAAATAGGTGAGTCATAATAACATTGTATACTTGATCAACGGTGGGTTATGTGCTTAAATACATTGTCCCCTTGTTTCCTTCTCTATTTGTTTACCAATCATCTGCTTAGACGGTTGGATTGGTCATCACAACTCTTTTTTTTGTAGAATTATCAACAATTATTATTGGTGTAGAGTTTGCATATCAGAGGGGTTGCCATTGTCTTTGGTTGGAAAGTGACAGTTCTAGTATTATTTCTGCTCTTCAATCGTCTAATTTTGATTCTTCTTGGCCTCTCCGTACGCAATGGTCTATTTGTTTGGATCGCATTCGGAAAATGACTTTCTACGCATCTCACATATATCGCGAAGGAAATCTTGTTGTTGACAATTTTGCTTACATGGGTTTGTCTTCTCCATCTTTAACATGGCATGATTCTACTCCGATAGCGGCTTGTGCTATTTTGTTTTTAAACTATATTGGCTTGTCTGGCTTACGCTTCTCAAATTAATATGCATGTCGGCATCCATGTTTATCTCACTTTTTTTTTTCCTCCTAACTTTATGGTGTTGTTTGACTTGTTTGTTAGGTTTAGACCTTTAGGTTTAGCCTCTCTCTCTCTCTCTCTTCATTCCCTTTGAAACAATTCCCAGATTCAAAGGTTTAAACCTACAAATACTAACATGAATTACATCGTATAACAGCTCAAATTCGGCAAACTGACCAAGCACTCTAAAATCTATAATTTACATCCTATTTTGCCTCCCAACCTTGTATCAGTTAGGAGTAGGAACAACCATCTTTTTGGCTCACATGGCAAAGCATTTCCAAGCGAATATTTGAATCAGACTCCACATTTGAACAAATCAACCAAAAGTGGTTTTTTGAAGGCGGATGGATACTTGCGAGCAATATTCGATATTTGACTTTACCACAAAGGGATTGTGGGTGCTCCTTTCACAGCTGGACATCACCATCAATCATTTCAGCTTTTAGACGTACGTCTTTGATCAAATATTGGTTTACCATATATGATCCCAAAGGGAAGAAAACATAGGCCTCTTTATTTCTTATCTTTATAACAGTAATTTAGTTCTAAACAATATTTGAGGCAGTAGTTCCAACAATAATCTTTCATCTCTATTATGTTAATTAATGCATAAGTTCCTAAAAGATAAGGCGTTCTTATTTAAATTAATAAATAATTTCATGTTTAGGCATCTAATTTCTTCTTCAACTTCCTGTTTTGGCTTCTCATCATCATATTATTGTGGCCTTTGAGTTTTTATTGGGATCGCTTTGAGCCATTTTAGCTTTCTAGCTGCTGGCATCAATGTAATGACACGTTTATGAGTTTATTCAATCGAATTTATCTTCAGACAGAAAAAGAAAAAAACTAAAGTTAATAAATACAACTAACCTAATCCTAATATTGAAAATATTTTGTATTCTTAATAAAAAATGAAAATATTTTGGATAACCGTGGCTTGACACTAGTTGTTTTTAAAGAGAAAAAAATAATAATAAAAAGATGAAAACATTTTGTAAATGCAAGCAAATTACCAAAAGAATAAGCTTGTCTCACTAGATATGATGCGACGAAACTTTAGTCCACAAATCATCTCCATAGTGTAAAATGGTAGGTTTGTGACAATATTAACCCTAACCATACCTCACAATTTTTATTTGATTACACTAGCATCCCTTGATGTTTTCCGTGTGGGTAATGTTAGGGAGACTAAATTTGTAAACTAAATAATATGTCACCAATCGTAATGAGCACATTTATTAACGTTTAAATATTAAACCAATCATCAACTTCCATGTCTTTTAGTTTCCAAAATTTTGTCTATAAATTTAATCTTTCTAGTATTATCCTTTCCGTGTTCACACAAATCCCTTGAGGTTTATAATAATACCCCTTGAAGTTTCATATTGTTTCCATGAAGCCCCTTCTGTGAAAATATAATCCAAAAATCGATTATATCATTAAAAAATTCTCCACAAATTTCTTATAGTTAATCACATAGATTTCACATAACTCCTCATATTCATTGATTTTTTTCCACAAAACTCCCTGAGCTTTTGTAAATAAGAACTCCTAAAATTTTAAGATGCTTTCATATATAAATCATTAATTATAATATAACATGGCATAAGTTGTTCAAGAGCTAAAAGAAAATCTTTTAAAGTGAAAAAAAAAAAAAACTTTTAGCTATTGCTATTGATGCTAGAAAATGGTTAGTCATTAAAGAACTTGTGTGGACACAGGCAGTTGAAGCGGGTAAGATGAACCATATCCTAAGAGATAGATTGGTTCACCTGGAATCAAGCTACATCCATTGTGGTGTATTGATATTTGTGTGTGTATTACAATAGTTTTGAGTCATTACATATGTAGGGCAGCCTATTTCTCAAGGAAGGTCATGTTCGTGGCCTTATAGCAAAGGTGTTGTGGCCTCTCCCAATCCAAAAAATATATATTTATATATCTTAGTACCCGAGTCAAAATACGAATACAAATACTGTCATTTGTTTAAAAAGAAAAAAAAAAAAGACAGTCATTCATACAACGACGGAATTGAAAACACCCCCTTATTTGTTTATATGACATGTAAATCCAGTTCTCCTGGGTATGATTTCCATGCAAGCAAAGATAAAAACGCGATCACTTCATGCTTCATACTTCATATCCGATTTCTAGTCCAAGTTCGACATGACAAATGATACAGAAAGCGGAAAGCCCTTGCAAGTTTGCAACCGAGTCCAAAGTCCACAATCTCTACTTTTAATTGAGTCCAAATTCTTCAGCCCCAATTCACATACAACCCAAAACCCAACCCACAAAAATTGAAAAATATTGTGGGGAAATAGGAAGGTCCTTTTTCTCGGTTTCCAAATTTTCCTGGAAAATTTGGATGTGCGAGAAAACATGTTTAGGGCTCACTGCTCTCACACATCCACCAATCCCAAAACTTCCATCTATTCCATTACCGTCACTGCAGACCCATCTCAATTTCTCTTATAATTCGCCCCTCAAAACTGAAATCCCAAAAATACCCAAAAGATTTGTGGTATTTGCAAACAACGACAACGGGTTGGAGCAGGATTCGAATTCCAAGGAGAAGGTAGAAGAGAAAGGCAAAGATGAAGGAATTGGATCCGACGGTAGTGGCAGTGTTGATGATTTAGGGAAGAATCAACAGCCTTTATTCGGCAACATCAGATGGGGTGATCTCTTACCAGACCCAGATCCTAACAACGTCTTGGCTGTCGGATTTACTGGGCTGCTGACGTGGGTGAGTGTGCAGGTGCTGTCCATCGCATCGGCTATGCTTGTTGTTGTTTGTAAGTATTCCTTCATTGCTGTTGTGCTTCTCTTCATTCTCATTACCTTCTTTGGCTCACTCGTCTTCCAATTTTACTCCCAAACTTCTTGAAAAAAAAATTAAGGGTTTTTGGACTTTAATTCTTAAAAAAGATTAAACTTTAATAAAAATCTGGTGTTCATAATTCAAATTTATGTTGTATTTTGTTTTAACATTTAGGGAGTGTAGTCAATTTGGATTTTAGAGGATTTTAATGGATTTTTTAAAGTGATAGATTCTAATAAAGGATTTTAATAGACTCTACAAATCTATATGGATTTTGGTAGATTTATATGGATTTTTATTATAGATTTCTATGGATTTGTATGAACTTATTTCATGGATTTCTAGGGATTTATAGTTGATTCCTACAACATAAATGATATAGAAATCTGACACACAAAGTAAAAATTCAGATAAAGCAACCACAACAAAAACACATTGTAAAAGCTCAAGGTCATGTATTAGTTTACTATACTATAGTACTATGCATCAATATCCTCATCACCTAATATTTGTTAATGAAAATGCTAAATAGATAAATACACAATCAAGATTAAATGTGAAAGATGTTTTGAGTTAATTGCTGGTCAATGTGAAAAATCTCTCTCCACCATTAGAATCTCTCTCTCTCTCTCTCTCTCAATCTGAGAAAATAGAAGAAAAGGAAAGATAAGAAAGCAAAAGCAGCTGCTGACGGTTTCAAAATTTCAACAAAGGAAACAATTAGAAGCTAACACCTTTGTGCCGAAAATTTAAATGGGTTTTAATTGCCATTTGGCTCTTATTAGACAACACAAAATAGTAGCTCAAAATGCGATTAAATCCCGACGAAAACGATGAGGGTTTAAAACCAACACCATGGTGCAGACACTGCCAAGCCTTGAAACCCCGTGACAGGCAGCTATCAAGCTCAAGCGCGAATATGTACTTTTGCCAAGGTGGAAGCCAAGGAGAAGAACGAGTTGTCGCAGGAGTACAACATCGAGAGCATTAAGAGAGAAGTCAGTTTGAAGAAAGAAATCCTAGGGGTGTGAATGGGATTCTTCACAGCCCTTTTTATTCGTAAATTGGCTCTCAAATCCTCCAAAATCCATTACTTAATGAAATCCATTAAAATCCATAACATTTTGAATACCCACGTATTTGTAGCAAGAATTTTAAATCTTAATTAACTACACCTGGATTTGAATGTATTCTTTCAAATCTTGTTAAATCTTACTTTGACTACACCATAATTTTAAAATCCTAATTGACTACAAGCTGATTCTAAAATCTTTTACAATTCTTTCAAATCTTAATTTGACTACACCCCCTTTAATAGATATCTTATTTAATGTCGTTACATAAATTTCAAATTTATTATTATACATTTTTTTTAATTTTTTAATTTTGTTGAACTTCTTTTAATTAATGTATCTAAACATTTATATCATAATTTACTGAATTAATATACTGAAATGTATATACATAAATATATTGTAATGAATTACTGGCACATAAAAAATATGCTAAAATATAATTGCAGCGAAAAGTTCATATCTAAACATATTATACTAGTGTACCAAAATATCCGTAACTAAATATATTATACCAAACTGTACAAAAATGTCTGTACCTAAACATATTACACTAAACTAGCGTGTTGAAATATCTGTACATATAGAGATGACAATTCAAACCGTTAAACTCAATAATTGTGGATAACCGTTCTAATGGAGCGGATTTGGATATGAAAATTTAGGTATGTTATGGATATGGGGAAAAATAGTAAACTTTATTTGGTTATGGTTTTGGATATGGTGTTATTGGGATTCCCAATCTGTATTTGTCTCCAAATTCGAACCGGATAATATATATATATATATATGAGAGTTTTAACGAAAAGCCCACACTACTGTTCACTTTAACGAAAAACCACATTTTTACACTAAAAAGTCAATCCTGGTACTATTTCCTTTATCCTTTATTTTGTTCTTATTATTAAAACTCAAAATTTTCAAGCCATTTTCATTAGTTTTCCTTATATATATTTATATAATATAATTTATAAATAATATATAGTATTATAATATATATATATATATATATATATATATATTATTTATCCCACATCGCCCAAGGGAGTGATCCTTAAATGTATATTCTCATCCCTACCTAACACGAGGCCTTTTGGGAGCTCACTAGCTTCGAGTTCTGTAAGAACTCCAAAGTTAAGCGAGAAAGGGGTTAGAGCAATCCCATGATGGGTGACCCACTGAGAAATTGCTCGTGAGTTCCCAAAAACAAAACCGTGAGGGAATGGTAAGCCCAAAGAGGACAATATCGTGCTACGGTGGTTGAGCGGGCCCGGAAAGTAGTCCCCCCCTGGCCGGGATGTGACAATTTATATTTGAGTTAACCTATACCATTATTACATATTCATTATTCACAACATAATATATTTAGTATAGTATAATAGTATTCACCGAACCCTATACTATATTTATTATACACCAAACATCATGTTTATAGGATATATCAACAACCAACATCATCAATATTTTATTCAATACTCTTATTTTTGTACTCTACAAAATTCAATTGTTGTTATGTTTTGTATTATTGGATGTGGTTATTTAATGACAAAATTAGTATTTATTAAATTATTGTGCATCAATTGGATGAATATAAATTTTTGTTTTTTACGAAGATAGATATAACGGTTAACCTGTGACAACTAGGGGTGGTTCGGTATGGGATCTCATACCGAAACCCTTGTCCCGATTCCCAAACCGAAATTTTTGGGAATCCCAAATTCAATACCAATCCCAAACCAAATTTTCAGGAATCCCAATTTTCGGGAATCCCGAAATAATTTCGGGATTCGGGACAAATCGGGAATCTCGAAATGCTTTTGGGCTTTTGGACTAAAATTTGACATATTATGTTTTTGGAGTAAAATTTGACATATTATGCTTTTAGGCCCAAACTGCCAATTTGTTATTTAATTTTATACTAATTTGACATCTTCCTGCTTAGTACCATAGCTTTCTTCAAGACACTTATATGCAGCTTCAATATCTGCATATGTATTCTGCTCACTTGCCTGGAACAATGAAAATATGGGACTTACGTGATGCACTGTGCTCAAACAACTAGTTAATACAAAAACTGTTCAAATATCCAACAGACCTTTCCAGTTGATTGCCCATACCCCGAATAGTCGTACCTGCAAAACATTACAGATATGTAACATTGAGAATATTATTAATTACAATGAAGGATAACAGATAACTGATAAATTATTTCTAAACAACGAGGATAACACAATTTCTCGCAGACATGAACCAAACAACTAAGTTAACCCTATGACCCTATGGCACCAGATGAAACTTACGCAATGACAATGGTAATGCATCATATGGTATGACGAGTATACAAAGCTACACCACAACTGCAATCCTAGTGGACATTGAATGACTGATCGCGGTGCGAAAGGCACTCACAGCTACTATATCATCTCAAACTAGACTGTCTAAGCAGGCAAAGGGGCTGGATAATCCACTCAATAGATGGCAGAAAAGGTAGATCAAAGGACCGAACATCAACATCATAACTGATTTGGCTTTCCTCAAATTAAAAGAAGGTATATCACAGCACAAGTCCCACATCGCATTTCTTCTATATTGAAGCTGCATATAAGTGTCTGGTAAAGCCGTGAAGGAAGGCTGCTGAAAGTAAGGAAATCGAAAGGAAGTCAAAATTGAAATGGTGATCTAACCTAAAAACAAATGAACGACACAGATTAAATCTAAAACAATGAACGGTTGAAATAATTCTCTTATAATGAAAAAATAATATATATATATATATATATATATAATATTTATTTCAATTCGGTATGGGAATACCGAAAAAATGGAGATGCAATACCGAATCCCATACCGAAAATTTCGGTTTGGTTCGGGATGACATACCAAAAATTTCGGGAATTTTGGTTTGGGATTTTTTTGGTTTGGGATCGGGATTTTTTCGGTTTGGTTTGGGATTTTTGGGATTTTTTTCCAGCCCTAGTGACAACCTGTTCCAAATTTTACGTTTTTATTTTATTTTAAAAGCGTGAATTTACGAAAATGCCATAGAGATAAAGATTTTGACTTATGTTAATCTTCGTTTAGAGAGACGTATGACTTATTTTTTTAATATATTCTCATAGTACTTGTTGGTGTGAATGCATTGGCGAAAACCGTTTGTGAGTCCGGATTATAACGGTATAGTTATGAATGTTTGAAATTGGTTATTTAAATATTTGAATTCCCACCTTGTGGGATTAGTGAACCAATTAAATTAAGGGGACAAGGAACCAATTAGAAGAGGGGAGGAAAGCTTGCAGCCAATCAGAAAGAAAGAAGAAAAAAAAAATGGGAAAGCTTCCCGTGCACCCGTGCCCGACTTGTGTGACCACCAATTCTCCAAGGCTTATTCCGGCCAACTCCGATGAAATTTTTCGACATCACCACCACCATCTTGAAGCTCTCATTCCCCTCTACAAAACCCACCCAAGAACCACCTTGATTAACCATGGTATGTGGCAGTTTGATGGCCACAAAAGTTGGCAGTTCTCACGGTGCTCCGAGCACCCTTTTTGATTTTCCGGCAAATCGGCAAAGTGATGGCCGATGCCACCACTTGGGCTTTGTAGCCCATCATCCCAGGAGCAAAACCCAACCAACCTTGACCCCGTTGGACCACTTTAGAAGACGAATCGACACCGGGAAGTTTTAGGCACCCACCGGCTTTGTGGGCAAAATTGACCATCTTCCATCCACTTTTGGACTTCGTGACAGGTATGAAAGTTGCTCCACTCACTGAGATCTTCATTTTTGTGAAGTTTGAGAATTTTTAGAAATAGTTGGATTTTCCGGCGAGTCGGGGCGGCCGACCGCCACCCGCGGTGGCGCGTGCGGCGGCGCATGGCCAGTGGGCCGCCAATGCTATTTTTAGGCTATGTCAAATGGTTTGAATTCAGTTTTGTCATTTGAATGACGTAGGTTGATCGTTGGAACCTAAATTCGTTACGATACGTTGCTTGATAAAAATGTGAATCGACGATCTGACTGTTGGATCGTCACCAAAATTGGATACATTATAATACGTACTATTTAAAGATCATCGGAATTTATGGATCGGGAATCCGACTTACGGATCTTCTTGAATTGGATTTGTAAGTTAGCAAAATAAATGATCACGGCCACTTGTTTTAGGCAATTGGCGGAGATCTGACCGTTGGATCGTAATGAAATTTTAATATGTTATTCTAGAAACATATTGTGGATCGTTGGGAGTTGCGGATTGGAAATCTGATATGCGGATCTTCCGGGTCGAGTTATACAGGTTTGTAGACCCTACCGTTAATCTTTGTTCGACTGTTGACTTGTGGTCAATGGGTCTCAAACTATTTTAGAATGCCCATGAGGTTGTGTTTTATGTGAATTACGTATTTTACGGATAAGATTTATGAGATGTGATTTGATAATTGGTCACATGGACCAATCATTCAGGACATCTCGATGCGTGCGCTAGAGAATCATAGCGTAGACTTCAGGTGAGTGGATTTTTTCTTTTTTATCGTACATATTATTGAGAGTTCTATCGACGCTTTTAAATTGATTAGGTATATTACCTTCATATATAATTATTGTGAATGATTGAAGTACTATATGAACTACGAATGACTTGATCCCTGTTTAGGGTACATAGGCAGTCTAACGAGACATTAGATGCAGCCATAATATATTTGAGACAAAAGCCTTATTTGGGAAATTGAGTAACGCGAAGGAAATTGGTAAATGCAAGTTTTAGTTTTGTGAATTAGTTAGTTAAATTAGTGTTAATTGGGTTGTCATGGATAATTATTCCTGAAAATAAGTAGTTCGGGAGTAGGGCGTTATTGATTGTACATTTCACACCGTATTGTTTATAATGGAAAATGCTACGACATGGTTGAGTATTAGATTGCATCATGGTATATCCATATGTATATTACTTGCATATAATTATTGGGAATGCTTTCAAGTGCAAAGGTGAACGCAGGACACCCAGATAAGTTTAGGTGAGTTTATGGTATTAGTTGAATCGATTGCGTTATAGCATGACTACATTTATGTGTTAGGCAACTCCGATACTGTCGTATTGGTTGCCATGAGTTGCACATGTTATATTGAGATGCATTGAAAGCTCACAAACCTACACCCCGGTGTTAGTGCCCCCGTCCGTGGCCAGGGCACAGTCCTTCACGTGATGTTCACCTCTCGCACCTTACGCTCACCTTAGACTCAAGGTAGGTGCACATGTTTGTCATACAAACCACTATAGGTGGTTCCGACTCGTAGGTGATCCGCGATTATTTGCCCAGTCTTCACGTGATCGTAGCACTTGAGCATACTTATATACACTTAGTCCTGTCGTACAGACCACTAGAGGTGGTTCCAACTCATGTGCAGGGATGTTTGATGAGCTATAGATTAAGTCGTTCAGGTCACTATAGGTGATTCCCAACTTGTATGCTAGTATTGATTGCTGAGATATGGATACCTGCACCCCGGTGTTAGTGCTTCCGCCCGTGGTCAGGGCACAGTCCTTCACGTGATGTTCACCTTTCGCACCTTACACTCACCTTGGACTCAAGGTAGGTGCACAAGCATGTCGTATAGACCACTGTAGGTGGTTCCGACTCGTAGGTGACCCGCGATTATTCTCCCAGTCTTCACGTGATCGTAGCACTTAAGCGTACTTATTTACATCCAGTCCTGTCGTACAGACCACTAGAGGTGGTTCCGACTTGTGTGCAGGGATACTTGATGAGATATGGATAAGTCGTACAGGTCACTAGAGATGACTCCCGACTTATATGTTAGTATTGATTGATGAGATATGAGTACAGTTGTACGGGTCACGTTAGGTGATTCTGGCTGATGTATCATTTTATATTGATTAAGTTCATTTGGCCTACTTGTTAATGCATTGTAGAGTCTATGAACATGGCATATTCGTGGTTTTGGCCATTTTTGAGCATAGGTGGATATATATATATATATATGTTGTACTGTCCTATAGAAAACGATAAGGGAATTACAGTGAGGGGTTATTACTGATAGAAAGGTAATAGTTTTGGGAAGCTTGGTTTTACTGTTTACTCGCACTTTTTGTTTTGTACCCCTTCAGGTTTTAACTGCTGAGTTCGTATCGACGAGGATATATGGCTAATCTTAGTATTGGTGGCTACTTTTAAGGGTATGATTCTTACCCACATTACTGTACTTTACTTATGCTCTGACATCGCGTGTGAAATGGGCTCGCTTCCACTCGTAGTGCACTCTAGTATTTAGATACTATTAGGTTCAAATTTATTCACATTTTATACACTATCACACTTTATGGTTTCGTCACCTTCCAGGTGTCGGCCAACACAGCTCGATTTGGGGTTCTAGTGAACATTTCGGATCGGGGTGTGTCATAACCGATGGGAAATTCGTTATCCGGTGGATATGGTTATGGATAATTCTCGATGGTTAATTTGTAATTATGGATACGGTTAATTTTCTTGGTTATGAGGAAGGTTACAACATTTTCGTCCCCAAATCGAATCGTTGTCATCCCTATGTACATAAGAAAATGTGCAAAAACATAAGTGTACTAAAATGTTTACCAAAATATTTTCTTTATTGTATGAGATACTTATAAAAAATTGGTGATGGTAAATACCTCCAACTAAAGCTAATTGATTTGAATTTCAAATGATATTAAAATGTACAATATTTTACCTAAAATGTAATTCTGGACACCATAAAAATTTAAAAGAAAGGGACATTAAATGCATATGCTAGATTAAATATAATCTAAGGATTAAAATCAACTTTTGATCTTGTATAAGACATTTTTCTTATTTAAAGATTAAAATCTAGTTTTCTAAAAAAAATTATATACTCCAACATTTATTGTTTTAGTCAGTTAAAAGGTTGAGGTTGTTGTAACTCAAGTAATTAATAACGTTATTCTATATGCAAACCGTGTATCAAAAAAGAAAAATATAGGGTTTTTTAGTGTTGTATAAATGCAATTTGTGCCGAAAAGCAATTATTTATTTGATTACTTCTAGTGCTGAACGTAATAATTCACAATTTCTGGTATCTTTAATAGTTTTGAACAATTCTAATTTGAAATGACGTTATCATGCCACTCAGTCACCACATAAAATGTTTAGTTGTTGAGCTAATGCTGGGTTATGCTAGTTGGCGAAGGCATAGTATCCGTCCTTTGTGTCCAAGTTCAAATAGCCTGTGCAATTTGGGGATGATCGGAGATAGTCGGAAACTCAGGTTTCCGTTCATCGAAACTAGAGCATGTGGCGGTGCGTGGGGGACTTTTGCCAATTGGATTTTTGGACAATGAGATGTCCTCAATGTTCTGGATCTGGTTTCAAGGTCCATTTGTTGAACATTATACAACGGTTCGATTACTTTGATTTAAAGGAAATTGTACTAGCATTCGAATTTAGTTGATGGCAATCTAACCGTTGGATCGATATGAAATTTTATATGTTATCATGTGTAGTATATGAGGACCGTAGAGACTTACGGATCGAAAATCTGATGTACGAATCTTTCGCATTGAAAAATCTTAGATTGTAGACTCTTGTACGATAGTCGATAATCCAACTATTGGATTGTCATCAAATTTTAGTATGTTATTGTACGTATTAGTTAAGGACCTTAGGAATCTACGGATCGGAAATCCGATGTATGGATTTTCCGGATTGAAGGAAATTGTAGATTATTTACCTTTGCAGTAGACGAAGATCTGCCTGTTCGATCATTATGAATTATCATATGTTGTTGTAGGTATCATTTGAGAACCTTAGAAATTTACAAATCGAAAATCCAACATCCAGATTTTCCCGAATTGAATTTGTAAGTTTGTCAAATTTATCAAATTATATATACATATACTAAAACCTAGTTTTTCGGTACTGTTTTGCACGGTTAATAAACAGTGAAATGTCGGAAACGCCCTTATTCTCTTCTCTGTTCTCCTTTGTTTTTCCTCCTTGGCACAGTGGATTTACTAATTTGTCCATGCTGCCCACGCGTTGATCATCGTCGACTGCTCCTTCCGTTTCCACTTATTTCTCTCACAAAGCTGGGCTTTTCATTTGCTTCCGGTCGTCCTCCATTTGCTACACAAACTCCAGTTCTCTCTCCCTATTTTGCACGAACCAGAACATATGCTCTCTATCCGTTCCGATTCGAAGAAATTCCTCAAGGGTTGTTCATGTTGTTCTCCTCACAACAAAACCAAAATTCCTTGAATTCGCCAAGTCCAATTCCACTCTGCCATACCCAGGAAAGCTTGCCTCCATTCTGATTTGAAGAAATTTTAAACCCAGAAAGCTTGGGTTTCCTGGTGAGTTCTCGGACATATTTGTTTCGGTTTGGTTTTTGGGTTCTCTTTTTTTTTTGTTCAAATTTTTGGGATTTTAATTTTAAAAATCTGGGTTTTTTGGTTCAATGGTTTGGTCCGTCTTATTGGCCTTCTCACCAGAGATCTCTGCCATCATTGTTCCACCAAACTCGCCAATAGCGTCCGCTCTTTCGAACCAGGTACGACTTCTTTCACTTTTTGTTTGTTTCCGGAAAAATGTAAGGCTCGAAAGTGTGTAGAGTTGTAGAACTAAAAAAAAAAGAAAAAAAGTCTCAATCTTTATGTTGTCCTGTACACAAAGAAATTGAATTTTTGATTTTGTGTTTCGGCATACCCTTACTGGAATTTTGTGATTTGGAAATTATAGAAGTTAGTACCCAGATAAAATTTCAGATTGGGGTTTTGAACATTGTTCTAGGTTATGGATTAGAACAAAAAGTTACCTTCTAGAAGAGACTTAAAGTTATGTAGTTTTCAGTGTATAAATTGGCTTTTAAACATTGTTCTGGGTTATGGGTTATTACCAAAGATTTACCTTCAAGAAAAATTACATTTGATTTATAAGAGGAGATCTTTGAAAATGAGGTCTCAGCTGGCCATGATTCATCATTATCTTAGAAGAATGGACGCGCTGACATATTTCTTAAACAATAATGTGTGACTTTTAAGCGAACAATTTCACCTTTTGTTTTCATGTCAAATCAACTTGCCTCACATATATGGTTCTGTTGTTAACATATATATTTTCTTCCAGTGGTTCTCAACAATGCTTTTATGTTACACCAGGGAAAATCTATTTGACGATGGGAATCATCTGAATCAGTTCTTGGATGATGATCCAACAATATCTCATTCATGGTTTGGATAGTTATTAAGAATATGATGGGATAATCGAGTTGAGTTCATGAATTAAACTAGGTCGGGTTAATTACACTTTCGCAGATATCTTTTTGACTTAATGTCAATTACTTGACGTTTATCATAGGCTTTATGTCCACAAAAACTTTTTGTTTTTTATATTGATGCTTTAGCAGTTCCCGTTGTCTACTCTATTCATGTATAAATTGTATCTATAATTTCAAAATACATGTTATTCATGAGAATGTATGATATTTATAAAATACTTTATGTTAGAGTCTAATTCTTTTTCCCTTCCCTTCACTGCAGTCCCGGCAAAAGTCCTTGCAGACTTGCAGCAGATGCAAACTCGGTACATAACTAAAATTGTTTAATATCAGGCCTTTCTTGGTTAGTGATTCTGGTATAGCTGATTAATGTGAATATCAATTATGTGTTTTGTGCTTCTGGGTTTGTGCTTAGAGCATTGTATTTTCTATATGTAAATTTTCTCCTTCAGTTCTATATGCATGTAGTTTCTCCCTTTTTCGTCTCAAGTATTTGGTTGGTTTTATTTAATAATTTTCTCGAATATAGAGAATCTTTGCACCAATATATTATTCTTGGATTTCCTGATGATTTCAAAATGAAATGTTTGCCAACAGTGTCACATGGTATCATGGATTGCTCAAAAAAGTCTCAAAGACGTGGAGAGATTTGTGACATAGCTCCGACTATGCGAACGATGAAGCTAGAAAACAATGGTGCAGAATTTGCTGTTTGTTCTTGCTAAGGTTTGTAATCCGATGACTAATAAGTATGTTCCCATATTCGGCATTTCAAATATGTCTAGAAATAATGTTATTTTTACATAAGTTAGGTTTTCCATTTTTCACTTCTTGCTATGTTATTTCTTTTTGAGCAACCTATTTCAGTCACCCTTCCAAGTTTGGAAATTCTTGAGTTGTGCAAATTGTACATTAGAGGGAATCCCTTGATATATTTTAGTTAGTTCTTACTAAAATTCGTGCAAAATGTTTTTGTTATCTTGAAGTAAAAAACCTTTTTAAGGTTGTAATTGGTTTTTCACGTGTGTAAATAATGTGTATCATGTATCTACATCATAACTTTCTACGTGTTTTATATGGTTTAGAAACCCGCAACAACGCGCGGGTACTAATAGCTAGTTATCATATATACTAAAACCCGTAGGGGTTGGTCACTGGATGACCAGTGATTTCCGATTTTGTCCTCGCCTATTCTTCTTTTATTTCAACTTTGCCCCTTTTGCTTTGCTGTCAGATTTATTTATCATATATACTAAAACCCGTAAGGGTTGAGTACTGTGGATGACCAGTGTTGTTCCAATTTTGCCCTTCAGTTGTTCTTTTAAGTCTTACTTTTTTGTCAATTACACGGTAAAATGACGGTTTTGACCCTGGATTGCCAATAGAAGTCTCTCGACTCCCTCAGAAACGAAATCCAAAAAGGAAAAACCATGCTCTGCAACACGATTGACGATTTCGATTCCGCTTTGTGGATGCCTCTGGAACTCTCCAGTCCTGCGTCCGTTCATCATATCGCTGGACCTTCCACTTCCAGTGCATCTTCATGGTTTTTTTCATCTCTCTTTCTCAAATTTCTGCTTCCGCCGTTCTCAAACTCACCTCTCTCACTCTCAAGCGTTCAGTCTCTCTCGCTCTCAAACGTTGCTGATCTGTCGAAACCCATATTCCTTTCCTCAAAATCCAAGGTACGGACTTCATGCAGCACTAAGTTTTTGGGATTTTTTTTATATTTTAGTTTTGGATTCGTAATTTTTTGCTCGGTAGATGAGAAAATGTGATTCCGTGTTTTAGTTTTGGTGTTTTTGTGATTTTGGGTTCGTAGGTGTTTCAAATTTTGGATGTTTGTTTGTAGGTTGCAAAACCCTTTGTTCTCAACGTAAGTAATTTAAAATTCTGGGGTTATTCTATTGAAAGTTTCAATTTATAGTTTAGTTTAGTTTTTTTATAATCAGAGTTGAGTTGGTATTTTGTTTGTGTTTGATTATATTGAAATCGGAGTTTCAGAGGACTTCTGTTTGGGTTTGATATTTTCCCACGATGTATAAAATGAGGGAGGGCAAAGCATTTAATGCACCAGATTATATTGGTTGTTTTTGTTATTTCAAGCTACGTATTGTAATTGGGAGATTAATCTGTTAATTTGTGTTTATGTAGAAATTGGAAGAAGCAAAGAACATGTATGCTTTTAGCACCACCACCTACACTGGATTCCAATGAACTATATCCGAAGAAGCATCTGAAAAATTCAAAGGTATGCATAGTAGTCAATTGCATTTGTGTTTTGCAGCTCATGGAATGCTTTTTGCAAGCTTAGATTCAGCTCATGAAAGTTCTTATTGCTGTGGTTGTGTTGTGGTTGCAGCTTATGGAATGATTTTAAAAAAATCAGGCCATAATCAGTTTGTACAGGAATACCAGGAAATCAGGGATTAGGATTAATCTCCCTGTTAACATGTGGCCAGTAACATGTCCAGGGCAAGCTTTGAATGCACCTGATGACTTGCCTAAGAATGTCACACGGACTTTGAATCAGGGCTCAATTCCCATGAGCATGGATTTTCATCCTTCACAGCAGACTCTACTTCTTGGGTTGTATTTTTTAAGTAGCTACTTATATTTATTTGTATACCTTTGGCTCTACAGTTTTTCCCTAGATGCTTGCTGCTCATAATTGACTGTTGATTGTTCTCTGTATATGCTTCAGTTGGTACCAATGTGGGGGACATAGGGCTGTGGGAAGTTGGATCTACGAAGATCCTCTGCATGGTAGTTAATAGATACTTTTCTATTTGAAAGTTCTTATTGTTGTGGTTGCTGTGTATTTACTTAGATTAATTATAAATTAGAGGTGGTTAAAAATTCAAAATTTTATTGATGCATGTTTTCTTCTTTCTTCCCAGCTATCAATTTGTTGTCTGAGGAGAATCTGAATAGATCAGATAGTACATGAAGAAAATGATTTTGGTAACGAAGAAGAAAGAAGAGTGAAGTAATGAGATATGAAGAGAACTTTGCCACTAAGATTAAAATAGAGATTGTAGTGAGCAAAGTCTAGGTATGAAGAGTCTGAGTTACATAATTGTTAATGGCTTTGAACCTTTCTAATTTTGTAAACCGTTAATACTATCTTAAAATTTAAATTATGAATCCTTATAATTGAAATGTCAATGATTCGAAGCTCATGACTGAATTATTACAGTTTTGTAAGATTTATTGATTACCTTTTTTCGAACTGTCTCTCGCAGCGGAATCACCGCCACCAACAGCTATGGCTACACAGTTCGTCGTCATCCAGTATTCCTCCAAAATTCCACCATCTCTCTTTCTTCTCTCCTACTCAGTGCGTCTCTATTCTTCCAGGTCCACCAATATCTATATCCCAAATGACTCTTTATATGTATCTATTTGTTAGAGAAGGCTTTTGCCTTTTGGGTTCAATTATATCTGCTGTCTGCATTGGATTTGATGTCTTCTTGGTCCCTATTTTTTTTTTTTTATCCAGCAATCGAGCTTGCATTATCACTTAAGAAATTAGCAAATGAAAGCTGCTTCACTTGCACACTGTAAAACATTCATTGTTATTGTATGATGTCTTTTTAATATAAGATGATTAGGCTTAGGTGATTATATTTTGTACCATCAATTGGTTCGTGTTGTGAATTAACAGTCTTACTATACTATGTTCATCCTTGAATTTACGACTAACAGGTTGCTGAGAAGAACAAAGATGTGCAATTAATAGATTTTGTTGAAATCAAGTTTTTAGCTGAGCAGGTCAGTCTTGATCTCTTCCCTTATTTTTCATCAGTTGGAAAGGTTCTACAGGGACGCTTGCATGATTTTTGATGTTCTGCTTTTACCTTTTTAGGTGGAAGCCTATCAGGAAAATATCTGAATATTTTGCTCAACTAAGGACACTTCACAAAGGGCACAGTAGGAACCCGTAATTCAATTTCATTGTCATCTTTATCACATGTTTAGTGTTCATCTTTTGAATATAACATTACTTATCTGATTTCATTTTCTGTTCCTTACTTGAGTTTCTCAAAACCTAATGCAAACAACTAATATGGCTAATCACATGTTTAGTGTTCATCTTTTGAATATAACATTACTTATCTGATTTCATTTTCTGTTCCTTACTTGAGTTTCTCAAAACCTAATGCAAACAACTAATATGGCTAAAATTAGTCCCTCATGTATTTTCCTCATCTGAATTGGGGTTTTTAAAGTTTATCAAGAAATTTGATCTGGGATTCTGAATTTTTTTTACAACTCAGAAATTTGTGGAGTTATTCTTAGGTTTTATCAAGAAGTTTGATCTAGGTTTCATATATTTTGTGACTCACATTGTTTTTTAGCATTTTTTTTTTTCTGATTTCTGCTTTCTTTTGATTTATGCGCCTGCATCAAGCTTCTGCCTTTCTATATTGATGAAATACTGATGGAAATGAGTTTCTTGCCAAGGCTCACAAGGCACTGAAATGCCCCTGCAAAGCTGACTTACAAAGTGGGCCCTATGGACTTTAGTTTTCAGAGGCTTTTCTCTGTTATCTTAAAAGCACGGTGGAAGAAAAGGGATCAGGCTGTGTCCATCCATTTGTAGTTTTGCAGAATTGTATTAAAGTTAATCCTTCTAAAGACAATTTAGAAGAAGATGCGATTAACAAAGATGACGACTACACCACTTTTTCTCTTTTCCTCATAACAAACAATGACCATTGATTTTTTTTCCTTTTCTTTCTTTTTGAAAAATACATGTCAATGAAAAAAAAAAAAGATCCGGATTGTTAGTCATTTATATATTTTCTTTTAACCACTAAGAACAACAACAAAAAAGTGATCTTTATTGTTTTGTGAGTGTGAAATGGTATCTTTAGATTTTCATGAAGTTGTGTTTTGCTTCCATGACTCAGAGGGTGGATATGGCGGCAGACAAGGACAGGTAAATAAATTGGTCTCACTATCTGCCGTTTTGGCTTAGCCAGTGTCCATATATCTTTGTTTAACTCAGTTAATGTTAGTTGTGATAGCTTGACTAGGCTTATACAACATTACTTATCTACTCTATTAGATAGTGCTTTGCATTCTTTTCCTTACAATTGATAGCGTGTTCTTTGACTTACAATTGACAGCGCGTTCTTTGATTTCCCAGATGCCACATCTTGCAACGAATTATGCTGCAGTTAATGCACTTATAACTCCTTGGTGGTGAGGCGAACTCTACAAATTTTTGCAGTAAATGAAACTTCCAAGCAGCGGCTTCAGGTTAGATATCACATTCAGTTGTATGGTTCTATAGTTTGAGGACATATATGTACGAGGATCATATCATTACCTTTGATATACTTTTACCGTGAATTACTTCTTGAATACATGATGGTGGAGAAATTGATGTCCGGCCTTGCTACACTGCGGTTTCTGGTAGTCTTTCTCTGTTCTGTTAGTTTCTGTTAGCCTCTCTATCTATCACACTTAAATGGTGGAGAAATGTACTTCTATTATTCATCTATTTTGAGGAAAATTGACGACACAATCATTTTATCTATTTTGATGGGCCCATTTTGATAAAAATGGGATTACGGAAGCTAAGAAAGCTACTGATGCACATATGCTATCGCTAATTTTTTGTGTTTGATTTGTGATTTTGAAAATAGTGGTTATTTCTAAGTGCGTGTTACTGTTTGGTTTAAGGCTTCTAAATCTAAGGTAGCTGCTAAGAATGGCCCAACTGCTGCTACAAAGAAGAAAGAAGTCTCAGATGAAAGCTCAGATGAGAGTAGCGATGATTCGGAAGATGATGATGTGAGTTTTTGGTTTTCCAACCTGGTGCCATAATTTTTTTTTTCCGTTGGGGTTGTTGCATGGGACATTCACCTGAAGATTGAGTCACTCATATCTGTATATTTGGGATACATTGTGTTGTGTATTTATTCTTTGTTAGATTGAGAAAGATACTTTTTGGTCGATAGTGATCCTCAACTTTTGTGTCCACAGGAAACCCCTGCAAAGGTTACTGCGCAAAAAGGCTGCTCAGTTGCAAAGAAAGGCTCATCAGTGGCTGTTAAGAAGGCAGACACTAGCAGCTCTAGATCTAAAAAGAGCTCTGAATCTGAAGATGAGGTGTGTGCTCATGCTTAAATATTTGTATCATCTGAAGGATATTCCTTTGATGATTGTTGAATCCTAATCTTTCTGAGCATGGTTAGGAAGTTATGAAAAAAGTAGAAAGGATGTTCCCTTGATGATTGTTCAGAGAAGAATTCTGGTGATAGTTCATAGAAAGTGAAGGTTTATGTTTTTTTTTAAATTCCAGTTGGAATGTGTTGCAATAATATCAGTCTTTGTGAGATCAAATGAATAACACCTACCTCTTTGCCTCTTTCTACATGTTTTATATAGTTTCAAAACCCGCAGCACCGCGCGGGCAAGCTTGCTAGTATATACTAAAACTCAGTTCCCTAACACTGTTCATTAACAGTGAACTCCACAGAATGCCCCAAAATTGCTCTTGGTTGTCCGGGTTTTCCACTTTTTGGCCAGTGAAATGGCGTCTATCATCGCTGATCCTTCTCCTTCGATTTCTTCGTTGCTTTTTCTTTCCATTCGCTTCTCTCTCTCCATCCTCAGCTTCTGCAAATTGTCTAATGTTTTTTCTCTTCCACGCTGGTGTTGTTCTTGGTGTCCACCCTTTGCAAGTTTCTCCGTCCGATTATTCACCTTTGTTTTTCTTCCGGAAAATTGCTCGATTCATGAATGGTGGAGGGGCTACAGATTTCTGCCTTTTTCAATTCGATTGAATTCTGTTTTTTGCTTGCGTAGTCTAACGTGTTCGGGTGATTTTTGCATTTTTTTAGTGTACGTGATTTCGTTTTTTAGGTGGTTCTCAATTGGATTCCACAGTAAAACCCAGAAACTTAGAGGTATGAAAATTTCAATTTTTTTGGATTCTTAATTTATTTTCAGTGTTAATTTTTGATTTATTTTCAGTATTAATTCCTGAATAAATTATTATTTTTGATAAACCCACTTAGAATCTGATCTGGGTTTTGCTTCGATTCCATAGTAAAAACCTTGAAACTTAAAGGCATGAGGCACCTCCACGCCTCCCAATCTGCCGACGTTAGAGCGCTCACCACATGTTCGTCATTAATCCTCAAACAGTCGAACCCACTTCTCTCTCCCTCTCCATCTCCGTATGCGTTTGCACTGTCGCACAATCTGTATGTCGTTAGAAACTACTTGAGCAGCCACGATCTCAGGTGATTTACTCTTTTGTGTGTATTGGGTTGGTGAGTTATTGATAAAATCTGAAATGACTTAGATTTGATTTGGGTTTTGCATGTTTGTAGTTTTTAAAATTATGGTTTGTTTTTGGGACTGGAATTTGGATTATACATGATTTAAAAAAAATTCATATATATCTGATTTGAGTTTAATTTGGGAAAATTATTATCTATGTTGTATATTTCGAAACTCAGTTATTGGTTGAATACACTCATTGGTTGAAGCCTGAAAGTAAAAGACTGCTCCAAGGCAAGGGAGAAGTGTCGCTTCTTCAGTGTTGGGAAGCTTTCTTTAAATAATGGTGTCAATGACCCTGAGTTGGTCTGTTTTGGTTTTGGTTATTTTTTTTCAATTGGTTTGGGATTTTTTTATGTTTGGAGTTTTTTGTTGTAATATTGTTTTCAATTCATCTGGAATTCAGTTTATGTTATGGGTTGCCATGTTTCTGCATTTAATTTGGTGTTTGGATGTTTATGTTATAGTTGTCATCGATTTTCTTAAAGAATTAATCCAAGTGATGACGCCATTTTTGATATATGTTTAAATGTTAACACTTTACAGATTTTCAGTTTCTAAACAATGAGATGATGCGACTGTTCAAAGTGCTTTTGTCATTAAGGTGAGTGATTTTTGTTTTTTGCTTTTAGCCTTTTGTGATTAAGAAAGTTTAGTCATTTGTGTACTGACTTATTAATTGGTGAGAAGATGAAACATTTTGCTGCTGGTTGCTAACAAAGTAATACAATCTCACAAAAGAGTTTTCGTTTTTTTTTCTTTGTTTGCTTGAATTATGTATTGTTTTTTTTATAAAAAAATTCGTATATAGTTTTGGAAATTTTTATTTGGTTAGAGAAAGGGGAAGAATATAGGAAGAGGGGAATTACATGCTTTAATAAAAATGCTGCATTCTTATTTGTGTAATTGGATACAGGGTTGAAAAAGGAGTTGAGTGTTGTTGTTTGTGTCTTCATAGTTTCGTCAAGATTTGAAAAACAGTGAAAAGATATTAAATTTATGGATGGAAGTAAAGCAAACAAAATTTTAACAAAAAATGCGACTGGGATGAGAGAGTATTGTAAGAGTTCATTATGGTAAAATATTGTTGTGCATGACAGTATTAAATAATCAGTTTGATAAATTAAAATGGTGTGATTAAATAAGATTATCTGTTGAGTGTACCTATATATGCTGAATAAATTGTTAATGAGTTTTCAATTTCATGTTATTATTTGCTCTGATGATTTTGTTTCGCTTTTGTATGTTTAAAATTGTCATGCTCTGTGTATTTGAGAATTTTTTTTTTAATTTAAATTTTATTTCTGTGTATGGTCCAATAAACTTCTGGTTCCCTAATCATTTGACTTAATTTTATTTCCACTTCTAAAAGTTTTTCCTGTAATTTTCTGTCATAAAAGGATTGTTTTGTTGCAAAAAGCAAGGCCAATTTGTTTAGGGCTTGAAGATTTCTACATTCACCGGGTTTATCTTCGACTTCAGGTACTTTGTTCCATTAACAACTTAAAGTCAGTTGCAACCACAGAGATTGGGTAAAATAAGCTGATTATCTGCCTATTTCATGAGGATATCAATAGGGACTATCTACCCAATCTTTTGTGTGTAAATAGTATGTAAATACACATCAAATATTATCTTTTGTATGTAAATTTGTAAAAGATGTGAATATTAGAACAATGGCAATAGAACTGCCAATCCATACCGTTGTAAATAGATTTCTGTATGTATATAAATAGTATTGCATATCATGTGCATTTAGAATTTTCTGCATGTTTTATACAGTTTTAAAATCCGCAGCATCGCGCGGGCACTATTGCTACTCATTTCCTAGGCTTGAAGAATTTCAAAGTTGAGCAAAAGTACAAGTTGCTCCTTTAGACAAAGATTTAGGATTTGAGCCAGCGTATGCGTATGACTCTGTATGAACTTGCTCCTGGAAATTCTTCCGGTTTTTTACCCAGTTAAATAGGGGTTTTCGGGCACAAACTTGTGTGTGAATTTTGTTTTTATGGACCCTTATTTATTGTTGTGTGAACGAACTTCATGTATGATTGTTTGAACCTTGGATTGCATCTACTACATATTAGAATTTTGGCAGTTAAAACTGTTTCTAATATCTATCTGTTGTTAAATTTGGGTTTACTTTCCATAGAATTATGAATTCTTGTTCTATTATTCCATACATAGCAAACGATTCTGCCCGGTACCAGTTTCACTTCATCTTACAGTACAATGCCGCCTCTCAGCTGGGTTTGTACCTTTTGTGGAACTAATATACCATATTACAACAGGAAGACATAACATTAAAAAGGAGTACAAAGAAATAATATAAAACAAGCAAAAAACAACACCAAATGCATAACCTTATAGCGGACTTATGAATTTCCTATCATCAGCTTGATGGTTTTAACAATCTCAACAAACCATTCACGCTTCCTTGTGATCACCACATCAGAAAGAACAACTCCCACCACCAACCCACTTCCGAGACCAGCCAAAACAAATTTCCAATCAAATTCAAACGAGCCTGAATCATTTTCTTCGGTTTTTGAAGGCGACTGGCGAGGAGCCTTAGGATCTCCGCATTTCTTTGGCAAAGGATCTCCACACAATCCAGGGTTTCCTTCATATGAACTGCTACCCATTGAAATAAGTTGGGTTCCATGCGGTATTGGACCTGTCAAGCTGTTGTTAGAGACAATGAATGTTTCAAGGAATGTAAGCTGCGCGAGGCTTTGAGGGATTTGTCCTGAAAGCTTGTTTTGTGAAAGGTCCAGTGATTCAAGCCACGTTAAACTCCCGAAAGATGATGGGATGGGACCAGTTAGGAGGTTACCAGATATATTGAATGATATCAGCCCTTTTAGGTTCCCAATAAATTCTGGAATCCTCCCTTCAAATTTGTTGCTTGAGATGTCAATCGCTACAAGGGCTTCTTGAATCTTCGGATAATATCTCTCCACACCTTTGCTAGTTATCGTGATTGAGTAATATTCCTCAAATAATTTACTAACGCTATTATTAGAATAGATATTTGAATATACCTCCATATATGTTGACTGGTGTCGAGGGACACCCCTCATGACATTCCCGGAAAAGATCTTTTGAGATGGAAATTTGCCTCTGAAACTATTAAAAGATAGATCCAGAATTCGTAACTCAGGGAAATATTCAACATTGTCCTGATGAGGTTCCTCCATCAGACCGTAGAACGCGTTCTGGTGCATTTTCAAAACTTTTAACTCCGGAAGAGCTCCCAACCAAAAGGGAAAAACATCGCTGAATTTATTGTATGACAGATCAATAAACTCAAGTTTCATGCAGTTCCCCAACGACCTTGGTAGTTGCCCTCGCAATTGGTTATGACTAACATCAATCACCGTCAGACTGCTTGTGCTGGTGTATATTTCAGGAAGAAAGCCGCTGAAAGAGTTGTTTCCAAGATATAAACCTAGCAGATCATCGCTGAAGTTTCCGAGACAGGGGGGAAGCATTCCACTCATATTGTTGTTGGAGAGGTCAAGGAACCGAAGAGAAGTCAGACTGCAGATCAACGGTGAAATTGCTCCATTTAGATTGTTATTCTTGAGCACTAAAACTTGTAGGTTAACCCAAGGAAAGGCATCTGAAGGCTGGACAATGCTTGAAAGGAAGTTGTCAGAAATGTCCATCTCCGCCAAAGTCTCTGTGCTTGTGTTCAACATCCATTTTGGTACTTCATGCAAATTGTTGGAGGAAAGGTCCAAGGACACCAATGTTTTTTGATACTGCAGGAAACTTGGGAACTCTCTTATGTTGCACGAACTCAATCCCAGAAATTCTAACTTTGGAAGTAGGCTTGCATTCGTACTTTCTGTTTCTGTGAAAATTTTCAAATTGGTACGAGATAATTGTAAATCGGCGAGCCCTTGTAACTTATGAAACACCATGCGGAACTCCACTGTACCAGTCAGATTATTATCAGATGCATCAAATAACTCGAGATTGATGAGATTGGATAAGGAATTAGGTAATGGACCGGTTAACTGATTCGAAGACAGATCAAGTATTATGAGGTGGGTGAGATTTCCTAGAGAAGGAATTGGACCGGTTAAATGATTAAAAGACAGATTAAGTGATATGAGTTGGATGAGATTTCCTAGAGAAGGAATTGGACCGGTTAACTGATTCGAAAACAGATAAAGTTCTGTGAGGTGGGTGAGATTTCCTAGAGAAGGAATTGGACCGGTTAACTGATTCGAAAACAGATAAAGGTATGTGAGGTGGGTGAGATTTTCTAGAGAAGGAATTGGACCGGTTAACTGATTCGAAAACAGATAAAGTTCTGTGAGGTGGGTGAGATTTCCTAGAGAAGGAATTGGACCGGTTAACTGATTCGAAAACAGATAAAGGTATGTGAGGTGGGTGAGATTTTCTAGAGAAGGAATTGAACCGGTTAACTGATTTGAAAACAGACAAAGGTATGTGAGGTGGGTGAGATTTCCTAGAGAAGGAATTGGACCGGTTAACTGATTCGAAGACAGATCAAGGCCTGTGAGGTGGGTGAGGTTTCCTAGAGAAGGAATTGGACCGGTTAACTTATTCGAAGACAGAACAAGGCCTGTGAGGTGGGTGAGATTTCCTAGAGAAGGAATTAGACCGGTTAACTGATTCAAAGACAGATCAAGTTCTGTGAGGTGGATGAGGTTTCCTAGAGAAGGAATTGAACCGGTCAACTGATTTGCAGACAGATAAAGGTATGTGAGGTGGGTGAGATTTTCTAGAGAAGGAATTGAACCGGTCAACTGATTTGCAGACAGATAAAGGTATGTGAGGTGGGTGAGATTTTCTAGAGAAGAAATTGAACCGGTTAACTGATTTGAAAGCAGAGAAAGGTATATGAGGTGGGTGAGATTTCCTAGAGAAGGAATTGGACCGGTTAACTGATTCGAAGACAGATCAAGTTCTGTGAGGTGGGTGAGGTTTCCTAGAGAATGAATTGGACCGGTTAACTGATTTGAATACAGATCAAGTTCTGTGAGGTGGGTGAGGTTTCCTAGTGAAGCCGGGATGTAACCGCTAAACTGATTAGAGAAAAGTGACAGGACTTCGAGCTTGTTGAGACTACTGAGAGCCGAGGGAATGGGGCCACTAAAAGCATTCATTCCAAGATGGAGCTCCTTCAGTTGGGTGAGGTTTGCCAATGAACTAGGGACTGGACCGCTAAAGTTATTTCCTGAAAGGTCTAAATGTATGAGCTGCCTAAGATTACCAAGTGAAGATGGATCCAAACCCGAGAACATGCAGTCTGCCAATTCCAGCGTGTTTAATAAATCAAGCTTTTCGATTGAAGAAGACAAATCAAGGGACGACAAGTTGGCCAGCTGATAAATTTGGGAAGGGATTTGGCCAGAAAAGGAAGAACTAGAGAGATTAAGATGCATGAGCCCAGGGAAATTCCCAATGCTACTAGGAATTCGAGAGGAATTGAAGTTGTTGTCAGCAAGGTTCAGCACTTGAAGATGAACAAGCCGGAAAAGGCTGCTGTTGGAGTTGATAGAGCCCAGGAGACAACTGCTACTAAGATCAAGGCCAATAACATGACCCGTCCTCTCATCACACACAATGCCATCCCATGCACAGCAGCTGACGTTTCGTCCCTCAGCTAGTTTCCATTGCAAAATCTTTGGATAAGCATCATCAGAATACGAGGCAGATCTGTTAATGATGAAGCTTTCCTTGAATTGCAGCAAGGCAGACCTCTCCTCGTCATGACAAGATTGCTGCAATGAGGAAACTGATGAGCTAACAACCACGAGATGAAGCAACACAACTTTTGAAAGTGTATAACACATATTGGAAACAAACAAGCACCGGCGGAATCCCATTGTGTTTTGTTCTGCACTCTTCGATATTAGCATGAGAGTGAGGTTGTGAGAGAGGTTTTTTTATAGACCGGTCGTAGGGGTTCCGCAAGTTAGTGTGTAAAACTTTTCTAATATCCCATCCAAGTTTCCCATCAAAATGGCCCCATACAGCATGTCAGCAAAAAGTAAATACAAAATAAATCAGCAACCCTTTTTCCTTTTATTCAAATAAATAACTCAATTTCTAGTAGACTCAAATTTGATGGCTAGTTCGAGGCAAATAATAGAACCACTTGCCCAAGCGTTTGCGGCACGGTCAGCACTTTTTTTTATTTTTTTAATAACCGGTCATTATCATGTGAAAGGGTTACGTGTTGTAGTGATGCATCCTCATGCGAAAGTGGAACGTACTTAAACTTCTCCTACACAAAAAGCAAATAGCCTAATTGACCATAAATGTAAACATAAATATTTAAATTTTCACCGGATGAACTAACTTAAAGATTTAAATTTTTATAAACGAAGAAATATACAATATTTTTCAGCCTAAGAAAGTTTTCACAGGGCATGCTAGAAATTTTCCATTATTAAACAAATACATGTTAAAATTGTAATTTGATTATGCTCTCCTTGTTCATGTGATTCTGCAAGGTGCGAGTGAAAACCATCCTCTCGGTGAATTAGTACAAGCTTGTCGTGAGTTGTTAGAGAGAGATTGAAATTGTGAACTCTGTCATGTTTATCATGAATTGAATTTTGTGGTTGATGAACAGACTAATTAACTTGAATTTGTCGTATTTTCTTGGTCTAGTTTATTCGAACAAGCTCCTACCTCTTGTCGACATATCTTAGTGTTGGACGCTGCTGGAATATCTAGACTTTGTGATGGTTTGCTTTAGTTTTCTCTTATGAGTGTTTAACCTTGTTTGCTTTAGTTATATCTTTAATAACATTAGTCACCTAAACAATGTTATAACATTAGTCACCCGAGTGTTGTAGAAACAGACGAATATGTTTCAAATTATTGGTGCTAAAATCAGACAGTCCATATATCATCCCAATATTTGTCCCGAATGTTTCTTTCGCTCAATGCCAAGAGATGTGATGATTACATGCCTATCATTCAGTAAGAAGCTATTACAACTCCACCTACGAGAAATCTAAACATTGAGTTAGAAGCTATTGCTGAATTAGAGTAACAATGATAGTTTCTTATAAAAAGAAATAATCCTGTTATGAAAAGTGTACAATTAAAATTCTAAAGTGTTAATAATAGTTTTTTATTAAAAAAAAAAAAAAGAATTTTCTTCAAGGTAGGACTTGCCTAACTTTCCATGAGCTTTCGCTTCGACGTGTTTATTAGTTGAACCATTCAAGAAGTCCAAGTGAAGTGGACTCTACCATTGACCCGCAAGAGGTGCTACCATGACTATCCCATCCAAGTTTCCCATCAAAATGACCCCTTACAGTATGCATGTCATCAAAAAAGACTAGGATTCTCTTCTCATCCTTTTTCATCTTATCCTCTCACATTTTTTTATTTTATCTTTTTTTTATTATAAAAAATTAATATAAGATGTTGACGTGACCGTTCAAATAGGAGGAGAGGGAAAGAAAGAAAAAAGAGAAGAGAACCCTACTCCAACAAAATATAAATACAAAATAAACCCCCTCTTCCTTTTATTCAAATAAATAACTCAATTTCTAGTAGACTCGAATTTGATGGCTAGTTCAAGGCAAATAATAGAACCACTTGCCTAAGCGTATGCGGCACGGTCAGCACATTTTTATTTTATTTTATATATTTTTAATTTTTTTTAATAACTTGTCATTATCACGCGGCATTCAAGTTGGTGCCTAAAACTTTTCTAATATCCCATCCAAGTTTCCCATCAAAATGGCCCCATACAGCATGTTAGCAAAAAGTAAATACAAAATAAATCAGCTACCCCTTTTTCCTTTTATTCAAATAAATAACTCAATTTCTAGTAGCCTCGAATTTGATGGCTAGTTCGAGGCAAATAATAGAGCCACTTGCCCAAGCGTTTGCGGCACGGTCAGCACATTTTTTAATTTTTTTAATTTTTTAATAACCGGTCATTATCATGTGAAAGGGTTACGTGCTGTAGTGATGCATCCTCATGCGAAAGTGGCACGTACTATCCTTGTTAAACTTCTCCTACACAAGAAGCAAATAACCTAATTGACCATAAATGTAAACATAAATATTTAAATTTTCACCGGATGAACTAACTTAAAGATTTAAATTTTTATAAACGAAGAAATATACAATATTTTTCAGCCTAAGAAAGTTTTCACAGGGCATGCTAGAAATTTTCCATTATTAAACAAATACATGTTAAAATTGTAATTTGATTATGCTCTCCTTGTTCATGTGATTATGCAAGGTTCAAGTGAAAACCATCCTCTTGGTGAATTAGTACAGGCTTGTCGTGAGTTGTTAGAGAGAGATTGAAATTGTGAACTCTGTCATGTTTATCATGAATTGAATTTTGTGGTTGATGAACAGACTAATTAACTTGAGTTTATCGTATTTTCTTGGTCCAGTTTATTCGAACAAGCTCCTTCCTCTTGTCAACATATCTTAGTGTCGGACATTGTTGGAATATCTAGACTTTGTGATGGTTTGCTTTAGTTTTCTCTTATGGGTGTTTAACCTGGTTTGCTTTAGTTATATCTTTAATAACATTAGTCACCTAAACAATGTTATAACATTAGTCACCCGAGTGTTGTAGAAACAGAGGAATATGTTTCAAATTATTGGTGCTAAAATCAGACAGTCCATGTCACATCCCGGCCCTGGACGGATCATTTCCCGGGCCCGCTCCACCACCGTAGCACAATATTGTCCGCTTTGGGCCCCAACCACGCCTTTACGGTTCTGTTTCTGGTAACTCACACGAGAACTTCCCGATTGGTCACCCATCCTAGGTGTGCTCTCGCGCGCTACTCGCTTAACTTTGGAGTTCCGATGGAACTCGAAGCCAGTGAGCTCCCAAAAGGCCTCGCACTAGGTAGGGATCAAAATGTACATATAAGGATCACTCCTCTGGGCAATATGAGATGCCACTTTCCATATATCATCCCAATATTTGTCCCGAATGTTTCTTTCGCTCAATGCCAAGAGAAGTGATGATTACATGCCTATCATTCAGTTAGAAGCTATTACAATTCCGCATGCGAGAAATCTAAACATTGAGTTAGAAGCTATTGCTGAATTAGAGTAACAATGATAGTTTCTTATAAAAAGAAATAATCTTGTTATGAAAAGTGTATAATTAAAATTTTAAAGTGCTACTCAGATCAAGGCCAATCACATGACCCGTCCTCTCGTCACACACAATGCCATCCCATGCACAGCAGTTGCCATTTCGTCCTTCAGCTAGTTTCCATTGCAAAATCTTTGGATAAGCATCATCAGAATACGAGGCAGATCTGTCAATGACGAAGCTTTCCTTGAATTGCAGCAAGGCAGACCTCTCCTCGTCATGACAAGAGTGCTGCAATGAGGAAACTGATGAGCTAACAACCACGAGATGAAGCAACACAACTTTTGAAAGTGTATAACACATATTGGAAACAAACAAGCACCGGCGGAATCCCATTGTGTTTTGTTCTGCACTCTTCGATATTAGCATGAGAGTGAGGTTGTGAGAGAGGTTTTTTTATAGACCGGTCGTAGGGGTTCCGCAAGTTAGTGTGTAAGACTTTTCTAATATCCCATCCAAGTTTCCCATCAAAATGGCCCCATACAGCATGTCAGCAAAAAGTAAATACAAAATAAATCAGCAACCCCTTTTTCCTTTTATTCAAATAAATAACTCAATTTCTAGTAGACTCGAATTTGATGGCTAGTTCGAGGCAAATAATAGAACCACTTGTCCAAGCGTTTGTGGCACGGTCAGCACTTTTTTTTATTTTTTTTAATAACCGCTTCATTATCATGTGAAGGGGTTACGTGCTGTAGTGATACATCCTCATGCGAAAGTGTCACGTACAATTCCTGTTAAACTTCTCCTACACAAGAAGCAAATAGCCTAATTGACCATAAATGTAAACATAAATATTTAAATTTTCACCGGATGAACTAACTTAAAGATTTAAATTTTTATAAATGAAGAAATATACAATATTTTTCAGCCTAAGAAAGTTTTCACAGGGCATGCTAGAAATTTTCCATTATTAAACAAATACATGCTAAAACTGTAATTTGATTATGCTCTCCTTGTTCATGTGATTCTGCAAGGTGGGAGTGAAAACCATCCTCTTGGTGAATTAGTACAGGCTTGTTGTGAGTTGTTAGAGAGATAATGAAATTGTGAACTCTGTCATGTTTATTATGAATTGAATTTTGTGGTTGATGAACAGACTAATTAACTTGAATTTGTCGTATTTTCTTGGTCCAGTTTTTTCGAACAAGCTCCTGCCTCTTGTCGACATATCTTAGTGTCGGACACTGCTGGAATATCTAGACTTTGTGATGGTTTGCTTTAGTTTTCTTTTATGGGTGTTTAACCTCCTTTGCTTTAGTTATATCTTTAATAACATTAGTCACCTAAACAATGTTATAACATTAGTCACCTGAGTGTTGTAGAAATAGATGAATATGTTTCAAATTATTGGTGCTAAAATCAGACAGTCCATATATCATCCCAATATTTGTCTCGAATGTTTCTTTCGCTCAATGCTAAGAGAAGTGATGATTACATGCCTATCATTCAGTTAGAAGTTATTACAACTCCACCTGCAAGAGATCTAAACATTGAGTTAGAAGCTATTGCTGAATTAGAGTAACAATGATAGTTTCTTATAAAAAGTGTACGATTAAAATTTTAACGTACTAATAATTGTTTTTTATTAAAAAAAAAAAAAGAATTTTCTTCAAAGTAGGACTTCCCTAACTTTCCATGAGCTTTCGCTTCAACGTGTTTATTAGTTGAACGATTCAAGAAGTCAAGGTGAAGTGGACTCTACCATTCACCAGCAAGAGGTGCTACCAT